CATATTGCCAAACTCGAGAAGTTATGGTTAGAATTGCAACATAAAACCTGTCAGGAAGACAAAATTAAACTACCCGACTCGTTATTTTTAAACAGAGTTTTGAATACCTTGCCTGCATAATATTTCGAGTTTATTAATGCATGGGAGCCTGTACCAAAAGATCAACTTACAATAGTGTTATTGTGTGAAAGATTATGTACTGTGGAACTGCGAATACAGGAGAGAGAAGAGAATCTTAATACGTTTGAAAAAAACAGCCTTAATTGCCAAGTCAAAAAACTCATCTTCACATAATCAAGACAATGTTGCTGATAAGAAAAAGAAAAGGGTAACCTGCTACCAGTGTGGTAAGAGAGGACACGTAAAACGTGACTGTCCCAAGAAAGATGAGAAAATTAACAAAGGGACTGGAAATACCTCTTCTGGTTCGGCTTTTGTGGGCGTCTCGAATTTTTCACAATTTGACGAAAAATCTTTGTGATTAGCGGATTCAGGGGCAACACAGAATATGACAAGCCGAAAAGAATGGTCTTAGTTGGTAATAGGCAGCGAATGCAGGGACTTGGAAAAGGAAATATAGACGTAAAGATGTATATTAACGGTCGATGGATCCAAAACTACCTCCAAGGCGTTTGGTATGTTCCCGAGGTCAGCCGTAATCTTTTCTCAATTCCATGTATCGTCGATAAAGGAATGACTTCCAGTCCCACTAAAAGTACTTGTTCTATTGAGGAAAACGGTAAGGTAGTAGCTGTTGGAGAGAGGAAAAATTGCCTTAATTTAATTTTTTTGAAGTCTTGCTACCGAAAAGACCTGACTGAACAAAATACTCACCAAAATGTGCACTATGTTCAGAGTTTTTTGAAAAGTCAAGGCATTGACATTCCACTGGATGAACATTTTTGTGAATGTTGCATGTATGGGAAGCAGCATAGCTTAAGTTTTGATACACATCAGTCCGGGGACTTAAACCAGGAGATCTAATAAATGCAGATATGACCTATACCTGAGAAGTCTCTGGGTGGAGCTCGTTTTTTTTCTTTGTTTAAAAGACGATTTTTACTAAATTTATTACTTTATATTTCTTAAAAGAAAAGTCAGAAGTACCAAGAAAAATAGAAAATTTTTTGATGGAAGTAAAAGTTCTTGGACATGCTGTTAAAGAATTATTAACAGACAATGGTATCGAATTTAGTAATCAAGAAATGAAGAAAATCACAGGTGCAGTAGGGTTACAACATCGTACAACCAAGCCGTATATGTCAGAACAAAATGGGGCTGCAGAGCGGGAAAATCGCACGCTGGTAGTGTCTGCAAGAACTCCGCTACATAGTAGGAATTTATCTGAATTCTTGTGGGCCGAAACCGTCAATATGGCAGCATTAGTATATATCTTGAACCATGGTGGTCCCACTCCAGTTAGTAATAAAACTCCAATTGAAACTCTAGCGTGGTGTAACTCCATCTTTAGAGCATTTTAAAATATTTGGCACTGAATGATTTGTCCATAATTCTAAACCAAAAAGACGGAAGCATGAAAGGGTACCTCATAGGATATTGTGGCGAAAAATATGCCTACAGAATTTGGATTCCAGATAAGAAAGATATACTAAGTAGGGACGTTGTATTTAAATAATAAAAAAACGATAAAAGAAAATGTCTTTGTTCTTGGCAGTAAACTACCAGAAGAAACCGAAAACGTTCCTAGTACATCCGAAAATAATAGATATGATGAGACAGAACAGAAAAATGAAAGATATTTTCTGAGATCAAGATCGAAATTAACCCTGCCTACGGATTTTGATGCTTTGGCGATGTTAATTGAAGGTACAGATTCTATCACAGTAAAGAAGGCTATGAATTCAAAGTATTGGAAAGGGGCCATGGAAGACGAAATTTATTCTTTGTTAGAAAATAGCACTTGGGAGTTGGTAGAGTTACTTCCAGGCCGCAAAGCAATCTCCAACAAATGGGTTTTTCGAATCAAAGAAGATTCAAGTGGAAACGTGACTAGGTACAAAGCAAGTTTGATCATTAAGGGTTTTTGCCAAAAACTTGGGATTGATTTTGAAGAAACTTTTGCATCAGTTGCTCGCTTTGACACGATTAGAACTGTTCTAGCTACAGCTGCACGAGAAAAATTATTAATGAAGCAATTTGATATAAAAATAGCTTTCCTTCATGGCTTCCTTGAAGAAGAGACTTACATGAAACAACCTCTTGATTATGAAGACGATACTGGTCGAGTTTATAAATTAAAGATGTCTGTACGGTCTAAAGCAAGCTCCACGCTGTTGGAATATAAGTTTGACCGATTTTCTACGAAAATGTGGATTACAACAAAGTACAGCTAATTCATGTTTATTCATCAGAAAAGCTCCAAAATTGCTGTTAATATTTTACGTAGACGATGGGCGACTGATTGCTAAAAGGGAAGAAGATATTTATAACTTCAAGAAAGAATTAGAGACAGAATTTAAAATGACGTTTGGTGAAGTTGATACCTTTTCAGGTATGCAGATTATTCAAAAAGAAGAAGGAATGTTTATTCACCAAGAGCGATACATTAATCGTGTACTGGATAAGTACAATATGTCTGAGTCTTTTTCTCTAAATATTCCTATGGAAACGAGTTATATAGGGTGTCCAAATTTGACATTCCGATTTAAATTGACCGCCATTTTTGGTAATCTTCATTGACAGTATTTCTATGGTGATATATATGTCAAGCAAAAACTTCGCGGTTACTTGTTTTTTGGTCAACATGGAACAACAACAACGCATTTCGGAAGAAATTTGGCACCATCTGTTAAAGTCATTGAGAGTTTTATGAAGATATTTCAACAGCAGAATATGGGGTGAAGAAAATCCAAGAAAAATATTGAAAAAACGACTGTATCCAGTAAATGTGACTGTGTGGTGTGGTTTTTGGTCTGGTGACGTTATTGAATGAAGCTGGTGATGCGATAACTGTGAACGAAGCGCGATACAGGATAATGATTAGAGATTATTTGTGGAACGAATTAGAAGATAAGGATGTCCAGAACATGTGGATCCAGCAAGACGGTACCACTTGCCACACTTCGAATAAAACACAAAATCTTTTAAGAGATAGATTTGGCAATCGAATAATTTCTCGAAGAGCTGAGGTAAATTGTCCGCCTAGGTCGTGCGACCTTCAAGGGCGGATTTACAAGGGAGTACTGGGGGTAGTTACCCCCCCCCCATAATTATAATTTATAAAAAACTTATAAAACTTATAAAAAGTTAGGCTGATTTTGTAGTCAGTCCTTCAATGCCAAAAAGTGATATCTCAAAAAAACACATTTTTTAATTTTTAACGCTTGAAAAACATTAAAAAAAACACTCACGTATCTCAACTTCACTTGTATTTACTAAAAGGGTTAGGTATATGACCTTAATACTAAGCCAAATGACTGCATATACGACACAAGAAAATCAAAAACAAAAAATAATTTAACGTAATCCAGCAGTACCTAAATTATTTTTTCGACTTATATTTATTACAAGGTAAAAAAATAAGTTTGAAAGGGTTTCATGTAATAGAAATGAGAAATACACGTTTATTATTTTGCAGCACCTTAAATTATTTTTTTATTAAAAGACAAGTGTATACAGCTTCTTTATTTGACTAGACTTTTAATATCTAGTAACAGTTTAAAAGTGTTTTTTGTTTTAACTATTTTTAGTTCTAGGTACTGTCCTAATAAAATTTTATTTTAAACATGTAATCTTGGTAAATTTTACCTCCCCCCCCCCCTATAAAAAAATATAAATCCGCCCTTGGCGACCTTACACCATTGGATTATTTCTTGTGAGGCTTTTTGAAGGGAAAAGTTTATGCTAATAACCCCCAAACACCTAAAGAGCTTCGAGTTTACATTATTCAAAAAATTGAAGAAATTGAACAGAATGTTTGCGAAAATGTTATTGAAAATTTTGGAAAAAGAATGTTAGCATGCTGAAGAAGCAGGGGGTTACATGCCGCATATCTTTTTTTATTATTAACCGCAATATTTAAACTTTAAAATAATACAATAACATTATAATATTTCAAGGGTTTTTGTAATTTATTTTTAAATTAAACTTGAAGGTCAAATTTGGACACCCTTTATTTCAGATACTGGTAGCACACCGATTGCATAAACTGTTCCTTTTAGATCTACCGTAGGTAGTTTAATGTATTTAGCAGTTGTTAACACGCATGATATCACGTTTGCTGTAAATTGTAGAATCTCCACTAAAACGAGATTGGGAAGCTGCTAAAAGAATTATGAAGTATTTAAAAGGTACATCAAAATTTTGAATTTTTTGCACAATTTCAAAAGACCTATTAAATGTATATAGCGATGCACATTATGGAGGGGATACAAAGACAAGAAGGTATACATCAAGTGCAGTCTGTAAATTTGGAGATGGAATTATTACATGGTTAAGCCAGAAACAGAGGTCAGTAAATTTATCAACGATGGAGTCTGAATACATAGCTGCCAGTAAAGCGGCTAAAGAGATTGTCTGGTTGAAATGATTACTCGGTGAACTACTGGGTGAGCCAATAATTTGTCCACTACTTCATATGGATAAAATGAGTGCCATAAAATTGGTCAAGAATTCAGAATTCCATAAACGATCAAAACACGTGGATATTCGCTACCATTTTATACGAGAGCAAGTTTTGGGCAAAAAATTTGATATTCAATATATTCCTGGAGATGAAGAAATTGCAGATATCATGACGAAACCACTATCAAGAGCTAGGTTTGAGAAATTAAAAAAAATTCTTGGTTTAAAAAGTTCTGTTTAAGGAGGAGGGTTGAAAAAATAAACACTAACGTATGGAGACCACCCCTTACTCTTGTCGTTATTCGACATTCTTTTTTTTTGAGTTGGATTATCATTTTTTTGATTGAAATTGTATTTTTAATTTTTCACTGAATAGTAAAACCTTTTAATTCAAGTTGCAGACCATTATTCATTCAGTCCACTACCGTGTATAATCCTCTACAAAAAATGATACACAAGAGAAGAAATAATTCTGATGGTCAAGAACAATTGCTTGTAATTTATACTTTAATTAATTTAAACTGTCTAAAAATAGCTTTTGGTGGATAAAACGGAACATATTATATGCTAATCCAAACTTCAATAATGTTTAAATCTCCTCGTACATTCAGTTCCTCCACACCACAAGAAATCTGGGTCAAACCAACGCCTTCTACAGTTCAAAGAATACCACGTGACACTCTTACTTTCTTCTGATTTCTTCCACTTTATAAATTAAATGGCTTCTTATAATAAATATTCTTGAGTAATCGTCAGCTTATCCGCTAACAATGAAAAGTGTAAGTGTATTTTTGTTCGCGTCCATCTTTGTTTACGTTTGCGGCCAAAATAAGTATAACAACAAATACGATAACGTAGATGTCGACAGGATTTTAAAAAATGACAGGGTGTTGACGAATTATATCAAATGTTTGATGGAAGAAGGACCTTGTACGGCGGAAGGAAGAGAGTTAAAAAGTAAGAGCTAATAAAAGTGAAATAAATAGAAATCAATAAAAGCTACAAAGCAAGTTAAGATCCCTGCGGAACACCAGTAGATATGTCTAAATAATCGGAGTTAATTTATTGCGTTATTTTCTTTAACTGTGAAAAAAAACAAATTGTTTTCAATCCTTTATAAAATTTCAGACGCACTTTAATACAACCTTTAAAGAAAATAAAACTTTGAAATTTTTGCTGGATTCAATAACTTTAATATTGACAAATTACGTTGTTATGCTGTTCAAGTAACACCCTACTGCGAGTTTAAATATTCATTGTAATATTTATAATACTTTCTTTTCTCTCGATATATTTACAAACATAATTATAACTGAATCATAACATTAAATTAAAGTCCACTCTTGGAGTTTCATGTAGGGTGCTGTAAGACGTATCCTTTGCAAAAAAGAGATAAAATAATCTACAGAGTGTTATTAAAGTACATGTGTATATTAAAATCACACGACTATGTTATATTTCTTCTTCTCTTTGTCTTCAATTGGATTCGTTTACTTGACATTTTCAAATCATATCATTTTTTATTATCCATTGTTTTATTCCCAAAATTAAAATTTAACGAAGTAATTTTGATTATTACAAAATTTTTTTTTTATTTATTTTTTATTTTTTTAGAAACACTTCCTGATGCATTGGCTTCTGGATGCACACAATGCAACGTTAAACAAAGAGACACCGCAGAAAAAGTGATAAAACATCTGATGAACAAAAAGTCTAAAGACTGGGAAAGACTGACCAAAAAATACGACCCACAAGGACAATACAAAAAACGTTATGAAGAGGAAGTTCAAAAACAGAGGACAATTTAAAAATGATTGATAATATTTCAATTGAAGAACCAAAAAATGTTTTATAAGTGTTTTGTAAAAAGAAAAAAATTGTTGAATTTTGGTATTATTAGTTGTGATATTGTTATTTAAAAATTTAAACAATTTCTGTACAGATAATATAACTAATAAAAAAATAAAATTAATCAAAATTAATAAATAATATATATTTTCCAATTTTAATAGTAATCTTAATCCATTTTTCTCTATAGCAGGTGCTATTTATATCAAAGGAAATACGGTTAAAGAATAATTTTTATTTAGAGAAATAAATTTATAAGTTACATGAAATAATATTTTACCAAAAAACTAAGTAATCAGAAGATGAAATAAATTTAAAACTAATTAAAAATATATGTTTAATTATGGGATATAATATTCTTTTTTACATATATTAACATCTCTAAATAGTAATAATAATAGCGTTTATTGCCCAACAGTATAAACCATTTACAGAGCAAATACAAAAACTTAAGAATAAAAGTTAAATTTATTAAAATTAAATTAGTACATTAAATATTTCAACAAAAATTGCCTGATTCAAACTATTTAGTTAAGAATTTAAATGCAGAATAAAATAAACTCTCAATTATTATTAGCAAAATAATGTTATATTATATCTACCAAAAACCAAAAAAAGCCAAAAAACAAAAAATAAACTAAAGGTGTCCGTGAGTTTTGTTTTTTAGTTCACATATGGTACGCAAAAGATATCACAAAATTCAGATATCTTGTTAGCATTACAACACATAAAATTTATTGAAGATTTTTGCATTAAATTTGTTTGAGCTCTTTTACATTGGAATGGTATATTATGCCTAGAAGTCAATCTAGGAACCTGAAAATCAATCTTATATAAGAATTCAGAGCTATCAACTTTATTATTTAAGAGTTTATGTAAATATAAAACAGAACCCTGCATCCTACGTTTTTCAAAGGAAACAAAATCAAAATTATTTAACAGAATATTGTAGTCCATACCTATAATAGAAGTAAAAATTTGAGAAATCTCTTTTGAACCCTCTCAATCAATAGCATATACTGAAAATATATGGGACTCCCAATTAAAGATCCGTATTCTAATTTAGATCTAACCAACCTAAAGTAGAGAGATGTTAAAGTCGAAATAATTCTAAAGTTTCTACAGTTTCTCCAAATGAATCCATATGCACGGTAAGCTGAATTAACTATTTGGTTAATATGATTATTAAACGTTAATTGGCTATCAAAAATAATTCCAAGATCCTTGATATTTTCAGTACGTTCCAATGTTACATTGTTAATTGAATAAGGGTAGTTTATAGTATTGGATTTGCGTGAAAAAGTTATTATTTTAGATTTATTAATATTCAAATATAATCTGTTTATAAAGCACCAATTTTAGTAAATCAGCTGATTCTGTAATACCACACAATCATATAAAGTAGAAATAAAAGCGTATAATTTGAAATAATCAGCGAATATTAATTGATTAGTATTAATTTTATCACACAAATCACTAATAAATAATAGAAAAAGCAAGGGACCTAGATTAGATCCCTGAGGAATTCCACTAGTTGCTATATAGATACTTGAGCAGAATCCGTTTAACTTAACAAATTGCTTTCTTTGGTATAGATAAGATTTAAATAATGAAAGGTACATATTATTGAAGCCTAAGCATTGCAGCTTTTTAGGAAGTATTACATGACTGATTTTGTCAAAAGCCTTGGAGAAATCAGTATCAACCGCATCAACCTAACCTCTTCTATCTAATGATTCACATAATGTATATGAGGTGCATAATAACTTAGGAGGATGCACAATGGGTATAGTGTGACCTAAGTGTCGTGGGGGTAATCCACCATCCACACGTTACAGACAGAAATGTATATGATATTTTGAAAACTTCAATTATTAATATACTCATACCAATAATTCAAAGAACTAATTTATTGTCTAGAAATTTTTTTCGAAATAGTCAACTATTAATTTAACTTTTTAAACCAGTCCGGTTTCCGAGAGGGTCGCTTTTCTAAAGTAGCTTTACAAAAAAAATAGTAAGAATACCTTATTGCAGTTATAGAATTTTTAAATCTTAAAATAGCATTTGAACTGGTTGACAGAGAAATTTTGTTAACTTAACTTTAATAACACTTATTATTGTGGATTTGACACTTCCAGAATCGTTACCAATTAATAATAAGAAAACAAGTATTCTGAAAAACTATTAGTTAAAACTAGACTACCCCAAGGTAGTACATTGATGCCTCTTCCATTCACAATGTACATGATATTTTTTAAATAATTTAAATGATTGCAAAATGCATCTTTTTGTCGATAATACAGTTTTATATTAAATAAAATAAAATTTTTAATGGTATGGAAAGGTGGATGAAAACCAAAAAATTACTTTGAACTCACATAAATAAAAAATTATAATTTTTAGTAACAGGACAAATATGTCTCAACAGTATTATGTATATATTAAAATTGGGTGTGTCAGTATAGAAAAAGTATTACTTTTGAACAGTAGTTGAACAAAAATTATTTAAAGGGTAAGTCAAAACCTAGGTTTGCATACAAGACAAGTAATATAACTCCATTAATAAACCACACTTTAACTAAACTGTACATCAATATTTATGTATAATAACACTAATTTACAAAAATTACAAATCCTACATAACACTTAATTGGTTATCAATTAAAATCTATATTACATTTTGAACTCTAATGTTTAATACTTTTGACTATTCACTCGTTTATCATTGGTCATACGCATTTCGCAATCTAGTAGTCCATCGATTTGTTTTGTATGTTGAGACTTTTGTTTCCAAAATTCTACGGCGCATAGTTTCTGAGATACAGGAAATATCCTACAGCCAACGTCAACCGGCATCCTGTCTTATTTGGACACCTGGTACTTTAGAAAACAAGCATTCCAACGACCTGTCCAAATGGCTACCAGTGGGAACTGACAGTTTAGATATGACAACCGTGTTGGCATGTTGTCATTAACAGGGTCAATGATACATATATAGTGATATGGAAACACCCAGTACATGGATTTCCAAAAATATTCCACAACTACCAAATCTCAAAAATGTGTTTTAAAACCAATTTTCAGCCTTTGGATATTTAAAAAAAAATTATTGCTTCCATTTTTATTTTTACTTCAAGGCATAAGCTTATGTTTATTTTGAAAAATATGGATGATCAATCTATGTAACTATCTATTTCTTGACCTGTCAAATCACCAGGCCTACAGGGTTGCCATAATTTTGCCATACCATAACCTGTCAAAACCCACTGGTAGCCATTCAGTTTGGAATGCCTTATAGGTAAATATCGGACAAAATGATAATTAGGAATAAAAAAATCGATGATATTAAATATTTACTAATAAAAATTTACATGGTATAAAAAATAAAAGGTAGGATATTAACAGTGACAAAAATAGGACGGCCACGCGTAGAGTTTGTATTGGCGTGAAATTAAAAATACTGACGAAATATGAGGAAAATATACAATATGCTACTTACAGAAATTTGATGAATATTAAGGATATTGTATAAATTACATCAAATATCAATGGATATTATTATGGGATAGTTAAGGAAAGACTATGAAGGAACATAAATGCAAATACATACATAAAAGAAATATTTTTTTGAACAGTTTTTTTTTTCTTTTTTTTTAATGATTTATTTTGGTTATACAAATTCGATTTCTAAAGAATAGTTTTTATAACCAGGATAATGAAATAAAGGGTTTCTTCGCAACTCGAAACTGAGGATCCTGGTAACAATTTCGCATCTGGGCATGCCGGAATTTTTTACCTGATTACGATTTGCTACTGGTTACTCATTTAACTGCATTATATTACCCAACTGAATAAAAATAAGTTTTGGTTCGAATCCCACCGTTGGCCGGGATTTATTTATTTAATTTAAATTATTTAAAATTAAATCTGATGCCTCGATAGGATTCCCCACTCGACCATTCACTGTTGGGTTCTAATTAACAATGCTGTTCCTAAAGTGGCGCTGGGAAACAGTAACAAAGCCTGCACAGAACACGAGGCTAATAACCTTAGCAGCTGATGCTGATGACACAAAAAAAAATTATTTTTTTTTTCATATTTATAATATAATGGAAAACATAAAAAAATGTACCAAATACAAATAACTGCTACATAAAATATACAAAATTAAAATAAAATGTCGTTGCATTTTTCCTGGACCCAGTCGCTGACAGTTTTTTAATTAATTCATCAAGTAAAAGTAAAAAAAATTTTTTTTGTTGACATTTACAATTTCACTTTTGCTTATATTGCGAAATTTTTAGCCTTCAAAGGGTTAGAGTCTTTAGTTTAGAAGATCCAAGTTGTAAATGAACCAATGTGATTCACACTGGTTCATTCCCAACTTCACATTATCTGAAGTTCTGATTTGAGGCCCTTCTTATAGTTGGAAGGTTGAAAGTACTTAGAATACATATGAAAATTTATCTGCAGGGTCACAAGCCACTGCAAGGGCTGCTCCATGTCAAATTTTCTTGGGAAGCAGGGTATAATTGCCTATTTAGCATATTTTTTTTAATAAAAGGCTCATGGATTTTAAGAATTTTAATCTAGGGAACGAAATGTCCCTGGGCCTCCGCTAGACCGCCCTTGGGCCACTCCTCACTTTTAACTAAACTCTTACTATCGAGGAAAGCGAAAAACCATAATATCATTCTTGAATACTTTCCTTTAATTGTTACTGCTACATCCGTACCGCAATTTTTCAATGTTTTTCATTAAAACCACTCATAGAGAACAAAGTTTACAACATAATATAATACAAATATCTGCTTTATATCTTATAAATCACTATAAACGACAAACAAACTACTGCAACATGCGTCTGTCATATGATATTTATTTCGCGCCAACTCTACTAACTCTACGCATGACGTCAGCGCCGCCATGACACCATGCGCGATATCCCCCCCTGAAAAATGTATTAAAATTAAATAGTTCCCTTTAAGACTGATACGCCCATGAATGTTTTTAATACAGC